AAACATGTCATATGTAGCAAACATTTCGAAGAAGAATGTTTTCAAGATGACTTGGATAATAGCGCATTGTGACAAACACCAGATAAAGCACTGGGACTTGCTCAACAACCGATTCCGCACCATGACGTCACAAACTGGTAGGTGGCAATAGTGTTTTTTGACAAACACGGATGCCTCCAAATTAAAATGAAAATTACTTTTAATTAAAAACGCTTAACAAGTATTAAACAGTATGTAATAATTTTATATTAAAATTGCTTTCAAAGATTTGAATTCTGAATATGATCGGATTTTTCCTTTAATTAAAATCAAACAAATAAACAATCAAAGTGTTATTTCTTAAGGGCCTCACATCCCATAAAGCATTACATTTTCCAAGCTCATTGGAGTGCATCTTTAAAATCTATTTGTTCAGACAACTTTGCTTGCAATTTGACTCCATCTTCTGCTGTGTGCTTGTATTTCTATGATTACCACTCCTTTCTTCCAAGTTGTTAAGTGGTAGGCTCTCTGGAGGGTTGTCCATATGCCGAGTGAATCAATGACTGTTAGCTGTGTGCGGGAAAGAGGATGGATATACGTATGATGGAAAAAGGTGAGAAAAGAAAAAAGCTTAAGAATCAATTAACATAAACCAGCCAGCCAGTCTGCACATTAGGGTTTACTGGGGTTCACTGAAGAAATATGCAGACCAATGCAACTACACCAGAGGGGATGTATAGAGTTTTGTTAGGTAAAAAAAATAAATAAATAATAATGACAAACATGTTTTATGTGATTGATGTTTACTCTTGCTGCCCATCTGTTCTGTAAAAGTAACCATGTGGAGGTCCTTCTAATTTTAGATTTACATTCCACAAACCCCACCAAGGCCTGTTTGTTATTATCTCTCCTGACAAAGTTTCCACTGCAGGACTTGCAGACGACTTGGTCCAGGATCCCAAATGGCTCTAATAATGTAGTGTTACGGCTGCAGTGGTTTTCTCCCCTTTCCTTGCAAGGTTCTGGATGCAGGCCTTCTGCAAGTGTTCTATTTTGCCCTAATTGGTGCTTGTCTGCTTTAAAAAACCTGTCATACAAGCAGCAGACAGGAGGCTTCTCCCTCTTGCCTCCTCAGAACTCCATTTGGTTTGGTTTGGTTTGTATTCTATGGTTGGGTTTTGTTAGGTTTGTTTGCATTTGCTTATTTCTGTTTAGTTATTGGTTTTGCATTAAGCAATTTTCTAGTCCCCATTTTTTGTATCCCTTTTTCAGGTTTTGTTTTCTTTATTATAATTTGATAAATTCAATTTTAACTTTAAAGAAAATCCTTGTGAGGTCTCCTTTAATGTTACCCCACCAAACAAGCATGGTGGACGTAACAGTAGGAACTAAATATAAAAATGTCACTGTCACATTTCTGTTATTTAGCTAACTTTTGCTTATATTTAGTGATTTTTTTTAATATATATATATTTTATTGGGAAAAACTAAATGTTAAATCAATGCCTTAATACATCAATTCTTTGGATTTGTTGCACAGGTAGTATCCTATCACAGCACAACACCGGAATTCACTGAGCTCCTGAGAGTGACCCAATTTTCACAAATGTTTGTAACAACAGTCTGCATGCTTGGTGCTTGATTTTATACACAATTCGATAATTTAAATGGATGAGCAAATACGTGTAGAAACATCGTGCATTTACTTAAGAGTTGGACATTCTTGTTTACCCAGCTGCTTTTAGTGTCTGCCGCCACAGATGTATTAGCAAGAGAACGACGGTGATTGTTTTTTAAGATAGATCACAAAAGACCAGCCACTTCATACACACACACACACAGTGGGGGAGTTAGTGGTTAGAGCGGTGTGCTTGTGCTCTGTAAAGGCTGCAAGTACCCAGTTGGATCCCCACAGCCTGCACTCTGGTTTCCTGGACAAGACCCTTAAAACCCACACTGCTCACCCGGCACCGCAAATGCCAGCCCACTGCTCTCCAATCGTATGGGTTAAATGCAGAGAGTGAATTTTGTTGCTTTCTACTTGATAATGTACTAACAATACTGTTGAAATCTATTCTATTCACTTCAAACCCCATCACAGTCTCCACACAGAAGAAAAACAATATAAAACTTCTGTCTAGTGCGACAAGGGTAAAATTTCACTTGGATCTGCAACAGCATGTGCACAACAATTCATTTTAACTTGTTGCCAGAGAGAGCAAAGTGGAAAACCGCTGTAAATTTTTATTCAATTTAAATCTAACCCTAAATCTAATTTAAATCTAATATATATATATATATATATATATATATATATATATANGAGTACACTCCATTTAATAATGAAGATGTAACATCAATCCTGTGGAATAGAACTGACCCCTCGAAAAATTATGAAAAAAGAGGAAACATTAAAGATGATGTCTGGAGAATCCTTGGTGTTGTTCCGACAGACAGTGGCTTCTACAACTTCAGGCGAAGAGACGGCAGTCTGGATTCAAGGATAAATCTCACAGTGAATGGTAAAATGAGGAGCTTCAGAGAGGATAGCTAAAATACATTTTTAATTTTATGTTAAACTAATTACTGCTCTGATCTCTGGTCTGTCAAACACAGAGTACACCTACAACTTTTCCCGAAATCTAAATGAACAGCTCTTTATAGATTATCCTTTGACTGGTGGACCATGGACTGTGACTTTTAAATCGGATATAGAAGATGAAACAGTCACAGTAATGAAAGATGGAAAGTTGGTCTTTGATAATGACATTTTCCCGTGGAGAATTGCTGATCGGAATCACGGCATCGATATAGGCCCAATACATCATAAAGATTCTGGTACCTTTGAGTTCAGAGACCCACAAGGTAACCTGGCCTTGTCTGTGGCTCTGGATGTCAGCGTTGGTGAGTCATGTTACATTTCCACTTTCCAAAATGAATCCATGATTGTTAAAAACTAAAATTTACTATCATATCTATGTGTTTTTACAGAACCTGCTGGCGGACTTGCATTGATCATTTGTGTTGTGGTGGGTCTGCTTTTGGGGATATGTTGTTGCTACTGCTGTTGTAAAAAGAAATGCTGTAAAAAGGACAAACCTGCTGTTGTACTGACACAAGGACCTGTTGCCTATCATGTATGTATTGACTTGAATTGATGCTACAAGAGGTGTTTTTCTCGGTGATCCTTATTTTAAATATTCTTTTAAAAGGAGAATTCTGCTTCAGCTGCTCCAGCACCTGTCACATATTATCATGTAAGTATTACTTCGCTTTTATTTTAAAGGTTGGTGGCAGTGTTATAATAAAAACAAATCAAATCAATGCCCCACTCCACATACTATGATAGAGAGATTTATAATACAAATTATCAAATGAGGCTTGAAATCCATATAAAATCATTTGTTGTTAACAAATAAAATTGCCTCGATACTGAAAATGTATTTTCCTATTCTCTTTTGTTTGCAGGGTACGAACCAGCCAACAGGACCAAGTTACTCTAATACATCTTATTCTTCAGTTTATCCTCCTCATCCAGTAAATCCTCCAGCCTACGCATCACCTGCAGCTGTGTCAATGGGACCGTCGGTGGGTTTGAAAATCAAGGTCTTCTGATGATATTCCATGTGTGGAATCCCAGTAAAAATCAGTTTGATGATCACATTTGCTGATGATCTCTTTCGTTTTTTTTTTTTTGTTCTACAGCTGTCGGAGCCTAATACCACTGTGTACCCTCCACAGCCTACCATTTTAAGCCCCCCACAGCCTGAACCCGCTTCTCAGGTGCACACACAGATTTAGCGAAAAAATTTAAAATTCAAGGTTGTTTGGGTTTTTTTATGTGTTTAATGCTAAAACTGTTTCCTTGTTCCATATTTTTCTACCAATTTGCTATTTTCAGGTTGGACCTCTAACATATCAGGAAAGTGAAGCAGCTCCCACTTTCAGCTTAGAGGTCTCTGACGATCAGCCGAGATTTCAGATAAAAGGACTGGCATTTCCCTCGGCTCCTCCTCTCACTGCAGATGCACCCTCGACTGATGTTTACATCTCAGATAAACTAAACTTTTTATGAACAGACTGCTAAACACTGTGTTGAGGGAGCTGTTTCAGTTTGCCCATGCTGCATTTAGTAACAATACATCACTACATGCATTAGGAATCCAGGGAAGAGAGACAGAAATCACGCAGCTGGAATATAAGTTGTTTAAGTTTATAAGTTGTTTAAGGACTTACAAACCTCAAATTTTAGATTTGTCTTAATTATTTTTGGTGACGATCTCATGCCAGAGATCCAAAGCATTTTACTGTATAGTTGTGTAACCTATATAATCTTTAAAATGTTGCATGGTGAAGTCTGATTTAGTGCAGTTTCTATAATGTGGTTTCTACAATGTCTATCTCTCTTTGAAGCTGAGATGCAGCATCAAAATCAATTGTTTTCAAATAACGTCACACATTAAGCCCTTTACAGGAGACTAGACACAAGCTGCTTGCACTGTGCATAGATATATTTTTATAGGTAAAAGATGATGGCTTGCTGGGAAAAGGCTGCAAATTACTAATATGAGTATATATGCATGAGATCAGAATGTCTTCAGGTATATCAATATGACATTTCTTAAAAGTGTTACATTTAAATCACTTTTCCCGAGGCATAAAATTAAAATAACACCAAATTTGTCTACTTGATATTTATAAATTTATCTCAATGTATATTTTAAATATGTAGACGTTGCCTTTGAAAACTGATGACTTTTTAGCTTCCTGTTTAACATTAGTTTTTAGCTTTCAAAATCTTTTCTCTGTGATTTAACTGAGACCTGTGGATGACGAGATAAACTGTTGCTGTTTTTCATTTATTTTTTAAACTTTGCTATGAATTTAAACCATATATACATAATCATGTGTTGTTCAATCTGTGGATTACTGTTTGAAACTTGTTAATATATTAAAAGAACAAGTTTCAAACTTTGGTTTGGAGTACCTCAAGGGTCCATGTTAGGTCCCTTTCTTTTTTCAGTCTACCTCCTGCTCCTCTGTTCCATTTTTTTGATAATTGATATGTCCTTTCATTGGATTACAAATGACTGTCAAATCTACCTTCCGATGCAAAAGAAGGATGTAAAGTAAATTCAAACACTGCCTATTTGTCTGGAAGAAATCAAAGCAAAGCTTGAATGGCATTAAACTTTTAAAGTTTTAAATAAAAATAAGACTTTGTCCACCCCTACATTTTTTCCCCATAATACTGACAGTGGCAGCATCAACACTCTCAATATTCAAAACGTTTTAATTTTTCATAGATGAAAAAATTACTTGACAACAAAAACACTGTGGTTTATTATGCACATCAATATACTAACTTTAAAGATGATCGGTACAGAATTCCTGCTCTTTTCAGAACTAGATTCTGTGTTATATGGGGTAAAGAGAAAATGCAAGTCAGCCTTCAGTTAAATCATACATAAATAACTATTTTAAAAAGAACTTCTTGTAGATATTAGTACTTGTAAATATCAATTTTAAGTAGAATGATTATTGATAAAAGTAGGTAAGTAAAGACAATGCAAAAGATGTTTGACCCAGAACTCAAACCTGAAGGAACTGTATCCACTATACCTTTTATCTAGATGGATGTTTAAATATATGAGTCTATTTTTTAGCAATGGCTGTAGAAAAGTATAGTTTGTCTTTATTTGGAAAATATGGATGCTGTGGTTGTTCATTTTCCTGTTGCATCAGTATAGATTGACCCTGAGGTTCTTGTGCCGATCCGCTTTTGGCCACCCTTCAGTGTACATTGGTTATTGCCTGGCCACCCTTATAAAAATGTTCAGGCTACACCTCTGTTTTAAAGTGTTGCAGTGATTAGATGTAAGCATGGTTATCAAACGTAAACCTAAGACTGGTATATGATTTACAGTTCCCAACATTCAGCACTTAAGAAAAAAATATATATATATATTTTATAAAACGTTTAGCAGTCTCTATTCTCTATTGTTATCGTCTAGCTTTAATTGGACTTATAAATTAATTTATTATCCATTCGGTTTTTTTTAAACCTTAGAACTAACATATTGGCCAGCACATTTATTTATTATTATTATTTTTTTTGGAGGGGGGGTAAGTTAATTGTACTTCTCCCATTTCAAGGCTTTGTTCAGTATTATTGTTTTGATCTCTTTCTACATTAGTATATTTTTTTTAATCCTTTATTGTAGCCCTTTTCAACCAGACAGTCAGTAAAGTCAATGAACAGGTTACATTTTTTTATCAACTCTTTTAATTCCTATGTTATTGATAAAGTTGTTCATTTATTGGCGGTCAATGACGCAGGAAATGGGATCACGTGGTGCTTTTGCGCAGCAGAGCCGCTGGACCAACGCTGTCCATCTCCATCAAATCGGAAGGTGCGCTCTGCGCTTGCGCGCTCTGCAAACCAAGCTATAACATCCTCTTATCTTCATCCGTATTAACGCTGGAATATTTCCACGCTGTTTTTTTTTACACACAGGCTGCAGGTGAGCTCATTTGTTTATGGTCAGTAATCGTTGTGAAAGATACATGGAGGAGGTGGCGGTTGTTTGACACCTGAGTGGCTGCGTTATCCAACAGATGATCGGTCATGGATGACGGTGCTGGCTGATGCGCCTGGATGTGCTCAGTGTGTGTACATCCACGGCGACTAAAAAAACAACCCAGTGCTTGTTTTTCAGTCCCCTCCTCATGCAGCTTGTTGATTGATGAAGGCATGTGGTGTTCAGACTGGCCACTTGTTTTTCAGAGCGGGTGCATGGGCATGAATGACAATGATGTTTACCCACGGATACAACCTGCAATGTGCTGTTTTTTACAGGACAAAATGCGCATTTACGTCTTCCTGATCCTGCTTTTTACCCTTCCTCTTTTTTCAAGTAAGATTCTTCTACTCTGATCATATTCATTGGAACAGCAGTTCTTATTTTGGCCCTCTGAGATAAACAATACACAAATATACCTTCATAAAACTAGTTGTTATACATAAACTATAGAGGTGTAACCTATTTTTGATTTAACTGATTACTAAAATCATATTAAGTCCTAAAAGTTTTATTTAAATTTTTTTTAACAAGTTGATTTGATCTATATTGTTTTGGTATATCCAAAACAGAAAAAAAACTATAGAATGTTGGGCTGATTTTTCTTCTCTATGTAATAAAATTATAGAAATTCTTTGCACTTAATGTCTGCTCTCTATGTTGGATAATGGAACTAACAGTGTCTATATGCTCCCTGCAGGTTGGGAGTTATTAGGTGAGTCGTTTTTTTTATTCGATCCTTGAAAACATCCCTGTACTGAAAGCATGTTGGTGCAGACTGGTTTCTTTTTTTAACAGATTTTGCTCTCTGACAGGTGAAAGAGAGAAAGTTCAAACTGTTTGTGTTGGGAAAGAGTTTCGACTGCCGGTGGACTCCACATCCAGAATTGTGACGTTTACACCAGACTCTGGGGGCCAGCGACGGGTCCTGCTTGAAAGAAGCACCGTGAGTGAAAATCTGTCCTCGTGTTTATGGAAAACAGTGTGGGTTAAACTACACTCCAAACTTCTATTGTTTTGGTGCCATACTGCAGCTCTGTTTAGCTTTTAACTGTACGCATTTCTTTAACCCTACAAGAGGTTAAAATTTCATTGATGAACATGAATAAATACCTATATTAGATTATTCCTAGGGGGAACAGCATTAATTTGTTTCACAGGTTTGGAAAGTCGATTGGAGCCATTTCTAAACAACTGTAGAAAATTTCACATAAGAACAGGCAAGAATGGTTGATTATTTTAGCAAGGAATAGAAATGTTGAAATGACCTCTTTTGGGTGCGTCGGTTCAGAGATTAAAAACAAATAAACACACTTCAAGCCTGTATGAACTGTTGGAACTTAAAGCAAGTCTTTATGAGGATGACAACAGGTTTGTCAAGAATAAAAACAGGTGATTACCTATGAAGCATGGTGTGGGCCATTTTCCCCTCAGTTGTTATTGGGGAGTGTTGGCCTAGTGGTTAGAGCAGTGCGCTTGTGCTCTGAGAAGGTTGCAAGTACCCAGTTCAATCTTTGCAGCCTCTACTCTGGGTCCCTTAACTCCACACTGCTCCTTGGGTGCCACACAATGGCAGCCCACTGCTCCCCAAGGGGATGGGTTAAATGCAGAGAGTGAATTTCCTCATTGTAGGACAATAAAGGGATTTACATTTACAATATTGCTTGATATGATGTAAATAAAAAAAATTTTTATCTCCAGATTTTTCAGCTACCCTTACATCACACGTTTGGTTGTTATTGACACACAGCTGATTGTTCAGCAGAGAAAAAATCCCGGACACAATACACTGGATTTGGATTAGATAAAGCAAGCTAACATTAGGTTATATTGTAAATGTGTTTTTTCTAAAATAACATCCATGCCTGCAGATCATCTGTAATGAAGTCATGAATGTTTATAACAAATGCTATTAATGTTGTATGTTATTTATATTATGGATTTAAATATGGCATCATATATTCAGATAAAGATCTTTTTTTTCACTTCTGTTTTGGAGAGATTCAGAACATCAGAATATTTTTTTCCTTGCAGGTAAGGGATCCTCGTTTTGAGTGGACCAGAGATAAGACGTTAGTCCTGAGAGAAGTGACTTTCAGTGATCAGGGACTTTATGCCAACAAACTGTCTCTTGGTTTCACCTATGAGACGGTTCATCTGATCGTTTCAGGTTAGAGAGCTTTCAGTCTCCTGCTAAATCCATCTCTGTATTCCTCATCTGGTGCAAGATCAATTTAGTATGAATCTCCACTTCATTTGATTGATTTTTATTATTATGTTTGAATATTATGGTTGGACACACTCAGTGGGCCCCATGCAAGAACCATTCGTGCGCAGAAATTTGTTCTTAAATCGTTTGTAGTCATTTAGAAGAAAATGTCACATTTACCTTTTTTTCCTATTTCTAATCTTCTCTCACTTTTGAACACATTTTATGAGAGCTTTAGACTTGACATGGGAGGCTCACACAATCAGTCAGCTGTTATACAAACCAGGCTTTTCACTAAATGACTACATTTGTTTTACTTAGAAGCAATTGTCAATTTTTAGGCTACATCATTAGATATGCTTCTCTCCAATAACCAATTAGTAAGCAGCGGCTTGATACTGCTCTCGACAAGTCTAAGTTTTAAGTCAGAAATATTGGTCACTACACCTGCAACTGGCAAGTCGGTATCCACAGAAAACAGGTTATATTTGTTGTTATTTCGTCAAAAGAAATAACAGTCAATGATAAAGCTAATAATTGAATAACATCTGGAACAGAAAAATGGATAGAAAGTTCAGCAAAGCTAGTTTTACCACATAATTTTACAGCTCTTGTGATCTATTTCACTGTCTTTAATGCTGTGGCTCAGCTCTGAGTCAGCAGGTTCTTGATCTTCTAACCTGTAAAGCTTTTCTTCTACTTCTTTAATGTCTTTTATGTGAATGAACAAGCGTGGGAGTTCCCCTCATATGGCCTTATTGGGGCGAAGATTATGCAGATTTATGTTTCTTGGGAATACGGACTCACGCATGGGTGGAATGCATAAAATTTTTCAAGATCCTTTAGGATAATTTACAGAGGCTTAAAATGTTTGTTGAATTGGATGTGCATTCTTAAAAGCCCACGAAAGAGGAAAAAGTAAGAGAAATTTACAACAAGAGTATGAAAGTGTTGTAACACGACGCGCATTGGACCTATTTTTTATCCAGTATTTAAGTATAATACAATTAATCCAGTTTATTTATGTTCACAACACATCATCCTAAGGTGTTTTACGGAGTTATTTTATTAAATCATACAGACAGATTTTCCTTATATGATGACAGTAAACTAGATTTGACAAATAAACTGGTTTTCTTTCTATTTCACATCTTCAGAATGCATCAAGCCATACAGAAGGAACTACGGGGAAACCTTTGAGCACGGCATCCCCGAGAACGCCTCCTTGTTAGAGTTTTCGCCTCGGGGTGCGCCACCCGAAGCCATGCCTGTTGTGTTGTGGAACCGGACGAACCCGGAGACGAGTGAGGCGGGCCGGGGACGGCTGCTGCGCGGGGGAAAGGTCTGGGTAGCAGAGAGGGTGACGCAAGCAGATCAAGGCAACTACACCGTGAAAGACGATGCTGGGAAGGTGTTGTCTCGCAGCACACTGTCT